TTTCTACAGCTATGCAAGTCTATATTAAGACAGCATTAAATGTTTACTTTAATCTGTACTTTCAATCTCAAGAATCAAAAGATTTTTAAAAATGTAATTTCAAATGTGTTGGAATTTAACACACACCAAGAAAGTAATTTCGTTAACTAAAATTAATTAATGCAGCAATTTATTTAAATTAAATTTTAATACTAAGAAAAGAAAATAATAGAAGTATCAAAAATTTAAAACACTGTCTTTTAACTTTTAAAATCAATATATATAGATAAAAGAAATTAGTTGATTTAAATCAATGATTTTTTTAAAAAAATCATTTGATTTAAATCATGATTTAAATCGTGATTTAAATCAAGCTGATTTAAATCAACGAACCCTGGCGCATACAATAAACTATTTCGTTGCAATTTCTTATTAATGAGACTAAAAATTTCCCTAGGGCTGCCTCTGAATTTCACCTGAACCATTTATGTGTGATCAAGTATACTTTGCCCTCCTGTAACCCAGAGGCAAAAAGCTATTAAGTACTTTCAATAATATTCCAAACCATATTAAACAATTAAAAATTTCCATTTCCTTTTCAAGAACTTAAAATGTGAGATAATAAGCTATGAATAATGAAAAAAAGTGAGAGATAGAGAATATAATACAATTATGCATGTTATTATGATATTTATACAGTGATAGTTTGTATTAGATTTCATAACTTTACTGCCTATATAGAATGGTTATATTTATTGAATACTACTATATTAATAGAAAAAAAAGGCCCACTAAAGAAGCTTTAAAAATTCTCTTGATTTATTTCCATAATATACTTATTATACTTTTTCAGACAAAAGTCCAGAATCTTAGAAAAATTCATCTTATATTCATCTGGTACATTGAATTTTATAATAAACCATTTTCTTTTTAAAGCATTTTCTGAGTGAACTACATTTTTAAAATGCTTATAAACTTCTGTCCAATTTATAAGATATTCTTCAAAGTATTTAAATTTGTTTTTAAGTAGAATTATCAATTTCGCTGAATGAGATTTATTCCATTTTTGATAAGAAATATTTTTAAAAATTTTACTTTGATTATTTATCCATTCGATACAGCATTGATTAGCATTTCGAGTTGGCACAAGTTCAGAAACTTTATCCCAAGAAATTCTCTTTAAGCTAACAATAGACAAATCAGAAACATTTTCTACAGATTTAATTGCTGAAATTAGTTGTATTACCTCACTTTTAGACCATTTACCTTTTAAGTAAGGTGTTTTATTACGCATATAAATTTTACAACAATCCATGCTATTTATTTTTAGTTTTTGTCCAATTAAACTCCAGTTACATCCATATCTCTTTTGTAACAAAATAATAGAGGCAACATCACTAGATGTGCAATCTTTACTTTTTTTAAATGGACTAAACATATCTCGGGCTTTCTTATATATACTATGTAGTGTTCTTTCATTGATATCTCTACCCAATCTAACATAAAAATGTTTTACTCTCAGAAATTTCTTAAAGTTTTGGAATTCATATTTATAAGGAGGTACCAGACCTCTCATTCCTAGCAAAAGCTGAGCATCATAAACACCAAATCGAGATTGAAAATCTTTGAAATTCCTCCTAAGTAGATTTTCCTCTTCTTCTGACCATCTTCCTCTTCGAATAACAACACCTTTGGACTTGAGCGACTCCTCAATATCTGTATTTAAATCAGTAACTGATTCTGTTAAATGAAGTCTAGGAATAGTAAAATCTACAGGTTCTTCAGTCAAATCAAGTTCTGGCAAAATCACCTCATCAAAATCTTCTAACAAATCTATGTTGATTACTTCTCCAGATTCGCTTGACAAATCAATTTCTGGTATCATTTCATCAGTCCTTCTTGCCAAATCAAACTGAGGTATAATCAGTTCACCAGCCTTTTCTGTCTGATCAATGTTGATTGCTTCACTAGATTCTTTGGGCAAATCAATATCTGGTGAAATCACCTCATTAAGATCTTCTGTCAAATCAATGTTGATTGCTTCACTAGCTTTTTCTTTCAAATCATGTTTATCTACAATTGCTTGAGATCCTTCAGTTAAATCAAGCTCATTTATAACTTCAAGTTTGTTTTCTGAATCAAGTTCTGGTATAACCTGTACATTAGTTCCTTTGATATTACTCAAATTATTATAATTAAATTTTGTCTTTTCTACATTCAACATACTTTTATTTTTAACATTTTCGTAAGACTTTGCAGTTATACTTGAATTTACAAAATCAGAACTAGGATTTTTAAGATATGATGAAACATTACCACTTCTTGTTAGTGCACAATTTCCATTACTAATAGCGAATGGTTGATCAGAATGAATACTTTCATTAAGTCCTCCATTAATGTCTTGATTGCATGTAATTTTAATATTATTCCTTCCTAAAACATGTCTCTTAGAAACGTTTTTTAAATTTATAATTGGATGATTAGCACATGCAAGTTTTCTTTCATTGATAACTTTAGTTTTATGTTGTTTTCTTATTGAAATATTTTTCTTTTTATGGGCTGAGCAATTTACACTCTCGAGATAAACAATATCTAGATCAGAATTAGCATTATCTCTTCTTTTCAATGCAATAGAACTTGAAACTTGAATAGGTGTTGAATTATCACAAGAAGTTCCTGTAGCTAGTGGTAACTTTTCAGAATTCTGAAATGAATTTGAAATACACATCACATCCTCAAACAAATCATCCGTTGTGTAATTGATTTGCCTGTTTGGGGGAGAATCTGAAGCATTTTGTGAAGATTCCACACATTTTTCAAAACAAATTGATGATGAGAGGTTACTTTTATTTAGTCGTTTTACTACTTTCTGTGATTTACTTTTATCATTTGATTTTACAGAATGAGAGTCAAGAACAGAGAAACTTGTCTGTAATTTTTGTTTCTTTCTTTTACTACAGAGAGAAGATAAATCACCATCCACAATTGTTACACTATTTTCTTTGTCATTAGACTTTTTTACAGCACCATTACTGCAAAAAGAGTCATTAATAGAGTTGTTAATTTCAGGGGAAATGAGAGGGATATTTTTTAACTTCTGCTTTTTCCCAATTTCAAGTTCAGGTGAAACCATAGGAAACTTGTCAAAGTGTTTATCTTTTTGTTGAGAAACTATTTTTGAATTCAGTTTCCGCTGTTTCTTTACCTTTCTCAGATTTAAATAATATTCGGCCAACTTTAAGGCTTTTTGATAACAGTTTTCAACAGCAGAAGCTTCCACTTCATCAAAAACTTCATATTTTTGTTTTGAGTAAATATCTTTCACATCTTCAACAGAAGTTTTACTTACAGCAGACATCCCAAACTTTTTGCAAAGAATTCTATTTTTTCTTTTAATTTCTGTAATTCTTTTCCTGACTTTGTCAAAAGCAGGGTCAGCAGGCGAGTGGTTATCCATTTCAATTTTTATCTTAAAGAGCCAAGAGACAATAGTTTGAATGAAATTTTATTTAAAGAATAGTGTAGAAGAAAATTAATTTAATAGAATAACATTTTATAAACCAAATCATTGTTTATTAAGAGCAACTAATTGATAATCTAAAAAATTCTGAAGAATTAAATTAAAACATATCATATCGTTCTTATAACGATTACTTGCGCTAAGCGTAGTATTTTATGAGACTTCAATTTTTTTTTTCGTTCTTAAATATTGCTTGAAACATAGCTTCCGACTACCTTTTTCTGCTGAAAGATATAATAAGTAAAAGGTGTGACTGCCACAAAATCCCTACGATATATGCTTGTAGCTTTCTTTTGTTTACGCACTGTGCGAAAAATCTGATTGGATAAAAATATTTTGACATCATTGCTGATTGTAAGGAAAAATAGAGCCCCTAAATTAGAGTCTTAGGAGAAACAGGTAACAAAATCCTTGTCTTAAATCAATTGAGTAGGTGTAAGTAGACGACTATTTAAGACAAGTGAAGACAACCATAGAGTTGAGATTATCGTATTTCATCTCTATGGGAGTAACTTCCAGAACTTAAGGTGGTCCCAGTTGCTGTTGTAGTTCATTTACGTCGCACTAGAGCTGCACAATGGGGTATTGGCGACGGTCTGGGAAACATCCCTGAGGATGATCCGAAGACATGCCATCACAATTTTGATCCTCTGTAGAGGGGATGGTACCCCCGCTTCGGTAGCCCGACGACCTGTGCGCGAATAAGGTGGTCCTAAAGCTCTATAACTGTAATGTTAAAAATCGCCGAACAGTTTCACAGATTAAATAGCACTAAGGCCTTCGAAATTTTTCACGACGTTCAAGAATCTTCGCCACAACCTAAAATGTTTATTTTGGGAAAATTATGCTGAAATTTTCTTAAAAGCATGGAAATTGGCGATCGCAACACTCGAGTACGCCATCTGGGGAGAGACCGTTTTCATGCTTTTAGCCCTTCTCCCTTCCCTCTCCTCCTCTTTTCAGTTATATAGGAATGTTCTACGATATTTTCTCTTTTCTTAATATTTTACCTTTTTACTAAAAAATATTTTTTAAAATTCCTGTGATACTTTTCTTTAAAACTATGTTTAATGTAGTTTTCAGTTCCACACAGTTTTCCAACTTAAAAGATTTCAATCTGTGAGAAAATCAAGAGAGAAACTAGCATGATTCCATTTTCTATGACTTTCCACACGCTAATGGAGAAAGCATGTGAAGTGCTGCCATAGGTAAAGCGTTCTGCTCTACGCCACCTGCAGCCCATTTCGAAATCACAATCAGCGATGACGTCAAAATATTTTTATCCAATCAGATTTTTCGCTCATTGAGCGCAGAAAAGAAAGCACAAAAAGATGATTATTTTTTCATTCATTTCAAATATACTTGGAAATTTAATTATTTTGTTAAAATAAAATGAAATTTAAATTTGAAAAATAGCTATGAAAACAATGGTAATTGCTGTCTTTTTTTCCCCCGTTATTCGAAGGTTTATGAGTCGCACCTTTAACTTAACATATCTTTCAGCAGAGAGAGGTAGTCGGAAGCTCACTATGTTTCAAGCACAATATTTGCTTACAAGAAAACGTAATTGTAAAAATTTTTAAAAAACTATGAAGTATACGATATAAGAACGATGTGATTCGTTTTAATTTAATTCTTAAATATTTTTGGGATTATTAATTAGTTATTCGCAGTAAACAATGATCTGCTTATTAAAATGTTATGCTATTAAATTAAATTTTCTTCTACACTATTCTTAAAAATTTTCGTTCTAACTATTGTATCTTGACTCTTTTACGTAAAAATTGAAATGGCTAAATACTCTCCTGCCGACCCTGCTTTTGACAAATTCAGGAAAAGAATTGTTGAAATTAAAAGAAAAAATAGGATTCTTTGCGAAAAGTTTGGAATATCTGCTCTAAGTAAAACTTCTGTCGAAGATGTGAAAGATGTTTACACAAAACAAAAGTATGAAGTTTTTGATGAAATGGAAGCTTCTGCTGTTGAAAACTGTTATCAAAAAGCCTTAAAGTTGGCTGAATATTATTTAAATCGCAGGAAGATGAAAAAACTGCGGAAATTAAATTCAAAAATAGCTTCTCAACTAAAAGATAAGCACTTTGACAAGTATTCTATAGTTTCACCTGAAATTAAAATTGGTGAAAAGCAGAAGTTAAAAAATATCCCTCTTATTGCCCCTGAATTGAACAACTCTATTAATGACTCTTTTAGTAGTAATGGTGCTATTATAAGTAATGACAAAGAAAACTGTGTAACTATTGAAGATGGTGATTCATCTTCTCTCTGTAGTAAAAGAAAAAAACAAAAATTACTGTCATGTCTCTCTGCTCTTGATTCTCATTCTGTAAAGTCAAATGATGAAAGTAAATCACAAAAAGTAGTAAAACGACTAAATAAAACTAACCTCTCATCACCAATTTTTTTAAAAAAATATGTGGAATCTTCACAAAATGCTTCAGATTCTACCCCAAACAAGCAACTTAATTTCACAACAGATGATTTGTTTGAGGATGTGGTGTGTATTTCAAATTCATTTCAGAGTTCTGAAAAGTTAACACAAATTACTGGAAGTTCATGTGATAATTCAACACCTATTCAAGTTTCAAGTTCTATTCCATTGAAAAGAAGAGATAATGCTAATACTGATCTAGATATTGTTTATCTCAAGAGTGCAAATTGTTCAGCCCATAAAAAGAGAAATACTCCAATAAGAAAACAACATAAAACAAAAATTATCAATAAAAGAAAACTTGCATGTACTAATCATCCAATTATAAATTTAAAAAATGTCTCTAAGAAAAATGATTTAGGAAGGAATAATATTCAAATTACATGCAATCAAGACATTAATGGAGAACTTGATGAAAGTATTCATTCTGATCAACCATTCACTATTAGTAATGGAAGTTGTGCACTAACAAGAAGTGGTAATGATACAACATGTCTTAAAAGTTCTAGTTCTGATTTTGTAAAATCAAGTATAACTGGGAAGTCTTATAAAAATGTTAAAAATAAAGGTATATTGAATGTAGAAAAGACAAAATTTGATTATAATAAATTGAGCAATATCAAAAGAACTAATATACAGGTTATACCAGAGTATGATTTAACTGAAGAATCTGAAACAATTATAGATAAACCTGATTTGAATGAAAAAGCTGGTGAAGTGATTATAACTCAATTTGATTTGGTAAAAGAGTCTAATAAAATAATAACAGAAATCGATTTGTCAGGCGAATATAGTGAAGCAATGAACATTGATTTGCCCGAAGAATCTAGTAAAGTAATAAGCAACATTGATACGGCTGGTGAACTGATTATACCTCAGTTTGATTTGGTAAGAGAGTTTAATGAAATGATACCAGAAATTGATTTGTCAAGCGAATCTGGTGAAGCAATGAACATTGATTTGACAGAAGATTTTGATGAAGTAATTTTGCCAGAACTTGATTTGACAGAAGAACCTGTAGATTTTACTATTCCTAGACTTCATTTAACTGAATCAAGTAATGCTTCAAATCTAGATATTGAGTCACTTAAGTCTGAAGGTGTTGTAATTCGAAGTGGAAGATGGTCAAAAGAAGAAGAAAATCTACTTGAGAGGAATTTCAAAGATTTTCAATCTCGATTTGGTGTTTATGATGCCCAGCTTTTGCTAGGAATTGGAGGTCTGGCTCCTCCTTATAAATATAAATTCAAAAACTTTAAGAAATTTCTGAGAATAAAACATTTTTATGTTAGATTGGGTAAAGATATCAATGAAAGAACACTTCATAGTATATATAAGAAAGCTCGAGCCCTGTTTACTCCATTTAAAAAAAGTAAAGATTGCACATCTAGTGATGTTGAGGGAATTCTTCTGTTACAAAAGAAATATGGAAGTAACTGGAGTTTAATTGGACAAAAACTAAAAATAAATAATGAGGACTGCTGTCAAATCTATTGTTATAATAGAAAGCCTCTCTTAAAAGGTAAATGGTCTAAAAATGAGACCTTACAACTAATTTCAGCAATTAAATCTGTAGAAAATGTTTCTGATTTGTCTACCATAAACTTAAAAGGAATTTCTTGGGATAAAGTTTCTGAACTTGTGCCAACACGAAATTCTAAGCAATGCCGTTCAGAATGGATAAATAATCAAAGTAAACTTTATAAACACATTTCTTATCAAAAATGGAATAAATCCCATTCTGCAAAATTGATAATTCTTCTTAAAAACAAATTTAAATATCGTGAAGAATATCTTATAAATTGGTCAGAAGTTTATAAGCATTTTAAAAATGTAGTTCACTCAGAAAATGCTTTAAAAAGAAAATGGTTTATTATAAAATTCAATGTACCAGATGAATATAAGATGAATTTTTCTAAGACACTAGACTTTTGTTTTAAAAAATATAATAAGTATATTATTGAAATAAATAAAGAGAATTTTTAAAGCTTCTTTATAGAGCCACTTTTTTTCTATAAATATAATAGTATTCAATAAATATAACCATTCTGTATAGGCAGTAAAATTTTTAAATCTAATATGAACTATCACTGTATAAATATCATAATAAGCATGCATAATTGAATTAATTTCTCTATCTCTCACTCTTTTTTTTTATTATTCATATCTTTTTAAGTTCTTAAAAAGAAAATGGAAATCTTTAATTGTTTGATATGGTTTAGATTATTATTGAAAGTAGGTTTTTGCCCCTGGGTTACAGGGGGGCACAATATGCCTTATTGCACAAACAAGGTTCAGGTGAAATTCAGAGGCAGCCCTAGGGCAAAATTTGGTCTTATTAAGAAGAAATTGCTAAAAAAAAAGTTTATTATAGAAAATGTTAAAAAAAAAAGTAGAATAGAAAATTGTTTGTGCAGAAAAAAATTAAAATCTTAGGAGGGGAAAAAAAAAAGAAATGTGGACTGATTTGATAGACAGAAGTGTAATAATATTTTCTGTTATATTAAAAGAAAAAAAACATTCTTTTTAATGTTAAATGCAACACAAATAACCTTAAATGCTAATCTAATTTGTTTATTTATTAGTTTGAATTCCTTTAGATTAAGGTTAAGATGTTAAATTTAGTTTTATAAATTATTACTATTTCAATATACAGTCGACCTCGATCGATTGTTTCTAATGGGAGAAGTTATTGCAAGCAATAGATACGGAAAAGCGATTAATTTGGGTCAATGTAAATTATTAAGTTATGATTTCATATGTCTGAGAAGTAATAAAGGAGTAATGGATTTAAAAATTAGTAAGTGTACTAAAAGTATAAAATTAATTATGTCCATTATGCAAGAATGCTTGCGATGTAAAAGAATTAGTACATTTGTTTATTTAAAATATTGAAAATTTTGGTTTGAATATAAACGTTTTCTACTCAGCATAAAATAAAATTTGACGTTTGTAATCGACACACTCGCATGAATACAAAATGTTGCTCTTAGTTGTGTTTCTGTTATGACTTCTTCATCTGCATGATTTTGCACATTGCAAAAATTTTCAGCAATATACAAAATTTACTTTTTAGAAATATTATGAAAAAGTTATTGTAATTGAAAAAAGAAAGTAAAAAAGTATGATTTTTTAGAGAAATTCCAAACCTAAATAACTGTTTCATGGGTTAGAGTCTCCTTGTTATCGAACTAACTGTGGAAGGTTCTCCTCTCCATGTAACACAAATGCGGCTTAGTTGCATCAAAAAAATCCTCCACGAAGGCAAGTTTCTCCCTATATGTGATCCAGGAGTTCCATTGTCTTCTGGATTGGTTTCAAAATTATAAGACTACGGAGTTGAACATTAGTAGCTGTATGCTCTAAATTGGGTCGGTTGTTCAATGACGGTTATAAAATATGAACTACTGCTCCTCATAGGAATGATATGAAACAAATTATTAGACTGTGAAGAAAAAATAGCAATGATTTGTATCTGTAATATGGAAGTCTTCGTGATAGACAATTGAAAAAACGATATAAAATGAAGAGAGAGAAGGAAAAAAAACAATAATTTGAATCCTTGATTTATGGCGAGATGTTAATTTACTGAGATACTTTAAGAAGCTTACTAATAAATTACAATTTATGTGAAACATATTAAATTGTGAATGAAAAATAATAATACTGAGTATAAATAATATACTTTCCTTGTATACTAAGTGTAAATTGCAGCATAATTGTTCACTGGGATATTTAAAAAAGGTCATAAATAAATAAACAATAGTTTTGTTATGCATCTGCACTCGATGCTGAAAACGGAGTCCTATACTACAACCCCATTACAATTTGTAGTTCACTTAAATTGTAGTCGAATTTAAGAAACTATGCAGGGTATGTCTGGCAATGGTACTTTAAAAAGATCAGAGTAGGACATACTGGGAATATATATACTAAGCAGTGCACAAAAAGAGAAAAAATAAACTAATTTAAAAAAAATATATCTTTTTTTTAAAAAAAAAGTTATTACACAGATACAGATCCTATTTTGAGATAATGTCAAACTATTATTTTACAACACTTAACATGTTTTGTTATATCTCTGTTTTAAGTTTTATATTAAAAAAAGAAAATAGCTCTATCTAAACACACAAATTATTTAACAATGCTAAGCAGGCATAAAAAAAAAATATACAATAATTGTATTGAAGTTAATCACTGTCTTATAAAACGTGTATCCCATTTTTCTTCTTCAAAATACCGAAATGTACTATAATCTTTTTAATCTTCTTTTAGAAAATGCACAACAATAAAAAATTTACTTCACAGTTAACTTCTTGCACTATTCAAAACAAAAAACGTCTCTAAAGTAAATTTAATCTGACACTAAGATGTACTGAGCAACACTTCAAATTTAATTTGAAAATTTTTAAGTAATACATGAAGTGTAGATAAATTGCAAAAAAAAATATCCGAACAATTCTTTAACCTTGAGAAAACATCAGTGTAGTGAATGTCCAGGCAAATTTTCAATATGTCTATCGAACTCAAACCCCACTTAAGCAGTTTTTATCACCAATGTTGGCAAGAAACTTTTTTTCCCCCTCAAAAACAAGTATTGAACATATCTGTTACATTTGATATACATATGCAGTTATTTATGAAATGCATGTATTGTGTTAAGAAATCATTGTAACACAAGTAAATCTTAAACTTAATATGGTTGCAATATTTAATTCCTTTTTCAGCATGAAACTAAAGTGGCTCCAATAGAACTAAGCCAAAAGTGATTGGTGAGAAAAAAAAATCACTGAAAATTAGATCCACAATCCGTGCAGATCCACAACAAATCTGTTCTATAAATAATTAACATACTTTGTATTTATAACAAATTGTGATTATCACTGGGTGGTTAATTCACTAGGATATTTAAAAACTCATAAATAAATAATAAACAAGTTGAATATAAACATCAAACATATTGTTTTCTTGTAATACTGCTGGGTATAATTTTTCACATGGATATTTTAAAAAATTCATAAATTAATAAAAAATTCAATTGCTATAACAAATGTTTAAATTATAAT